CAGTAAGTGTCCTTTACACTAAAAACTAATGAAAACAACCTAATATTATATTTCACTTACAGTTTTTATATAAACTTTACAGTCATAGTTTTACTTTTAATCTATTAAGTATGTTTGGGGAGTGTAATGGAAGGCATTGGCCTTGATGACACGCTTACTACATCTTCTCCTGGATGATTGAGGATGCATCAAGAAATTGAAAAGATGTTGCTTTTATTTCGTGTTTTTAAAATAAATTCTTTCTTTTTTATTGTTTTGAGTTCAACCTTTGATGTTCAATGAAAATAGTGTAAATTTGCTCTTTACATAACTCAAACTTTTCTACAAAGTCAGTCACAAAGCTTTCAACTGTGAATCCACACATTCCTGTAACCTGCAGCCACTTTTTTGAAAGCATTTTTAGAGCACGCTCAGTGGACGCCAGCACCCACCTGGAACCTGACCCCGCTGACGTTGAGGTACAGGATCTCATCCGATCTGGACGAGTTGTCCACTGGAGGTTTGGGCATCGTCTTTTTGGCCAGCGGCAGCCAACCCACCGCCGCCGCCCGTGCAAATGGCAGCCATGTCGCCACGCCGGCTGCCATGTTGTATCAGAGCGCCCACCTGTAGAGTCTGAGAGTTCTTGTCCTCGTCGCAGGAGGGAAGAGCGGATGGAGCTAATGAAATGTTTATTGGCTCGGTTAAAGCCTTGCTCACTTCTTCAGCTGCCCTGATTTCCTTTGGCGGTCTGGGCAGTGAGATGCGAGGTGGTTGGACATGTTGGGGGGGGAGGAAAGGGGAAGGGAGGGGCCAGATTGCAGTTGGGTGTCAAGCCATGAAAAAAAGCTGTAAAGGGGCAGGAAAGCAGAGGCCCGTGTTTTTATTTTGTTGCAGTTTGGATGGTCTTCTAGTGACGCCGTCCTTTCTGTTCCGTCTGGCCTGCGAGACACTTCTCAGGGTAAACGCTGCTCTTTTAAAATATTTCTCTGTTTCTCTACAAGTTCCTCTCAGTCCTGTTGCTCTAAACAGGATGCACTTCTTGAAAATATGAACTCTCTTGATAGGAAAACATAATTTCTTGAAATCTCAGCAGTCTTAGCACAATAGATTATGTGTAAAATAATAATAAAGTGGTTCTTTGATATTGCCGTTGCAGGTTTATTGCTGCGGGGATTTACAAGAAAAGGCAGAAAGATATGAATCCAGGTAGGGAAGCGTTAAAACATTTGTGTCTGGCCTCCTCCCTTTCTCTCGCTCTCTCTCTCTCTGTCTGACTCGAGCTCTCTCACCCACCCTCTTTCCCTGTGAAGACTGATTTGTTGCAGCACCGCAGCCTTTCAAATTCTTATTAAATTGTGATGATGGTCCCTGAAGTTGCAAGATAGACAGAATCGCCTGTGTTGCCTCCCTCCCTCTAAGTGTTTCTCAGCTGTGGAGATTATGGTTGTGCAGCCTCACTCTTCCTCTTGTTCTCTTTCTGCTTTTGCTTGCTGTTTTCCCCTTTATCTGTCTCTGTGTTTTAGTCTCTCCCTCTTATTGAAGTTGCATTAGCGGTGGAGAAAGAGAGACACCAGCTTTGTTTCTGAGTGTAGAAGAGACGTCAGGCGCTCCTTTCTCCATGTCCATGTATGGTTGTCCTGTCAGAAAACACACAAACAGAAAAAGAAGCAGAGAGTGAGAGACAAACCAGGAGGAGAAGGAGGGAAGAGACTGAATTTAGAGAGAAAAGAGGAGGTATGGGTGGGAAAAAGCTGAAGAGAGGTAGGAACTGCAAGGGTCCTTACAGGGAAGAAAGACTTTGGTTTTTTTGGTGTATTGTACTACAGCCAAGAGTCTTTGTTCCTACTTCTGGAGCTGATTTGTGTGGACTTGGGTAGCCAAGTGTCCGGGAATGCAACAGAACACACAACCTGACCCAGATCACATCAAAGTGCCCAAATCTGATTTAATCAACCTGTTTAATGACTGTCAGTTGTTATTAGTCCCATTTGTATGAAGTAGGTCCCTCATCTACCTAACAGACAGCTCAGTAGGCTGATGTTAATCACTGTAATCAGTGATTAACACAGAGCAACCAAACTATTCATAAATTTGCAGTGATTGTGTGGAGTCTGTGAAACAGTCCCAGCAGGGTAACATGTTCTAGACGTGTATATCCCTGAACTGAGATCCTCCCGACACTAAATGAGTAGTTTTGTTCATGATCTATCACTGGTTTAGGAGTCAAAACCTTCAGGAGTCAAAAAGGTGCCCACATGGGTAGGTAAACAAGACAAACAGACACTAAGACAACGACTGAGGAGAAGGGCTGGACCATTTATACACATTAGCTAATCAGGGAATGGGAAACAGCTGCGGGAAATGAAACACAGGTGAGAGTAACCACACAGGTGAAGACAATCAATGTCAATGAGGCAGGAGAAACACCCAACAATAAGCTCAAAGCAACAGGAACACAAAGGGTAACTGTAACTGATATTTTTCAACCTGGTTCTGGCCTCATTACATCCACTCAACATTGGTCCATCCATCCATCCATCCATCCGTCCATCCATCCATC